TGTGAGTATTGAGTGACTTACAGCTGAATGCCCCTGACCACAAAGCTTGTCACTGCCTCCTTCCTTCGGATTTATACTAGAGTGAAGGTCAGTACTGAAGGTTCTTTGTTCTATGGCTCTGTTAGTTTCTTGGGCATGGCCAATGCTCTCTTCCTTGTATCCTGTTTTCAGCCATGTCAACCTACCTATCTGTCTTAAGATGGTGGACGTTTTTTGCTCTATTCTTTTCTCTAGGCCTTTGGACAGGTTGTTCTTCTCTCTTACATTCTCTTCTCTTTCTTTCTTCTGTTAAATTATATTTACTCTCTGCAAATAAGCTAAGGTGTCATTTGTGCTAGACTTCTGTGACTATGACATCCTGTGCTAGACATTCCTTTTGCCTCCAGTTGGGCCTCTCCCTCTCCTTTCTCATCTGAGTCTCCTTTGCTCTCCTGAACTTCTATTTCATTCCTCTCAGTACACTTTTTGGTTGGCTTTTTGGAAACCCCCTCTAGAGGTAAGGAGGTGGTGTTTCCTGTAATTCCTTGGATCCCCAGAGCCAAGGGCAGGGCCTAGCACCAAAATAAGATCATGTGGGGAGGCACGTGTTTAGTCTGCACAGGATGCAGCCCAATGGGCTGAATGGAGAGGACATTGGCCGTCTCTGGGCCTTTCAGCCCAGGCAGTGGGGCCCTGGTTCATGGGGAAATGAGTGTGAGACTGGTGATGAGGGGAGGCTAGGTTTTGTGTCAAACCAGCCTTGAGAACAAAACTCTGCATTTTCTCTAGCTGTGGCCAATACTTATACCGAGAAAGGGACCTGTTCTTTTTCCCCATCTCTGCCCCGAAGCTGCAAGGAAGTCAAGTGGAAGTGCCGAAGTGCCCGTGGTGAGTGTTACAACATCTAGACAGTCCAGCCAAGCATGAGGCTTTGATTCTGGGAGGTTTTAATTTAACTTAATTTTTGTATAAAAAGAATGGGAAATTGTACATATATTATATATTGAATGAAGTTTGCAATTTCAATCAGTTTTAAACATTCATTTGAGTGACATGTATTTGAGTCACATATATTGTACATATATTATATATTGAATGAAGTTTGCAATTTCAATCAGTTTTAAACATTCATTGGAGTGACAGTATTTTACACTGTTATACAGCCGTCACTGCTGTCAATCTCCAGA